TGGCATAGAAATATGAATTGCCATATATACACTTCATCAGCAGCTATGCATCCTACACAGAGCACTGAGAAAGAGTTCAACCCTTCAAGGGATTGCTGTTACTTGGTATTCTTGGGCCTTGTCCTAGAATATAAACTGAACAGATTCACAGTGAAGCACATTGACAACTGAGTCTCTACTTAGACTCATTTAATCTGTGATACCTTTTGAAGTAGGAAAGATTTGTCTTCAGTGGATTCCCTTCTTGTAACCTTTTCCCCATATTAAGACCCTTCTAAAAATTGGATTCACTGCTGAAGTGTAGATGTGGCAAGTGGAATCAAATCTATTTGCTGGCCTTTACCACTTAAACAGATCCAGGTATTTTTGGAATCAGGTTGTTTAATATCAGGATTCCACTGGGTCCAGTTCTAAATTGTAAAGATACATTACCAGGGGATCCTAAATCAGCAGGTAGTAGTGAGAATGGTTGGGTATGACTCCAGATGTGTGAGATGGTATAGGTCCCATTCAGGCCATCTCCCCACAACTCACCCATCCCCAACTCCCAGCTCTTTCCCAAGCCAACGTATTTTCCTCAGATGCAGCAGTAGCTAGCATTAAAACACAACATGTTACCAGCAGATAGGGTGACAAAAGACCTGGAGTAGATGATTTCCACTCTTCTTAGCAAAATGTTGCTGAGCTCAGTGGGAAACACCACAGCCATGCATTAAGTGACAAGAAAATATCTCCCTTTCCCACTATCATTAGGAACAATCAGCTGTGAGACAGGCAGGGAGAAAATGACAAATGCCTCAGAATGAATATGGCCATCTTTGGCAAGGGTAGTGGGTTAGCATAGTAGGTATAGGGTTGAAAAAATACCCCTCCCCTGAGATTCTTTGCCTGTCCCCCTTACAGAGACAGAGTAGGAGTGAGCATAGATCATTTCAGATTCTAGGTCTAGTTGTGTTTGAACTATCAAGAGAGAGAGGGATAGAGAGATGGAGAGGGAAAAAGGGAGAATGAAATTGAACACTATTCCATTTCAAAAGCAACAGGTGGACAGAATTTCAGAAGTAGAAAAAACCTTGTGAGCCTATTCAGTTCATGTATAGATACCGAGACTCACAAGATATCAGAGTTGCCAGGGGTATTAAAGACCACTGAGTCAGACATACAGATGCCCAACAGGTACCTGAAAACATGCTCAATGTCACTAAATCATTAGGGAAATGCAAATCAAAACCACAATGTGATAGCGTTTCATACCTATCAGAATGACTATTATAAAAAATATAAAGGATAACAAGTATTGGTAAAGATATGGAGAAAAGGGAACACTTGTGTACTATTGGTGGTCATGTAAATTGGTACAGCAACTATGGAAAACACTATGGAGGTTCCTCAAAAAATTCAAAATGAAAATTGCTGTATAATCCAGCAACCATACTTCTGAGTGCATGAAGGAAATGAAATCACTATTTTGAAGTGATATCTGTAACCCCATGCAGCATTATTCACAATAGTCAAGATATGGAAACAACCTAAGTGTCCACTGATGGATGAATGGATAAAGAAAATGTGGTGTGTGTATATATATAAAATGGAATAATATTCAGCTATGAGAAGAAGGAAATTCTACCATTTGTGATAACATGGATGAAACTGTAGGGCATTATGCTAAGTGAAATAGACAGAGAAAGACAAATACTGTATGATCTCAGTAATATGTGGAGTCTAAAAAAGCTAAACTTACAGAAACAGAGTAGAATGGTGGTTTCCATGGGCTGAAGGTTCAAACTTCTAGTTAGAAAATGAATAAGTTCTTGGGATCTAATGCATGGTGAATATAGTTAACAGTATTGTATTGCATACTTGAAAATTACTAAGAGAGTAGATGTTAAATGTTCTCATCACAAAAAGGTGATAAGATGTGAGGTGATGAATGTGTTAGCTAACCTTATGGTAATCATTTCACAATAGATATGTGTATCAAATCATCATGTTATATACGTTAAACTTACACAATATTATTCAGTTATATGTCACTTAACAATGGGGATATGTTCTGAGAAATATGTCATTAGGTGATTTTGTCATGGTGCAAACACCGTAGATAGCACTTACACAAACCTAGATGGTATAGCCTACTACATGTAGGCTAAATGGTATAACCTATTGCTCTTAAGCTACAAACCTGTATAGCATGTTACTTAATACTGTAGGCAATTGTAACACAATGATAAGTACTTGTATATGTGAACATATCTAAACATAGAGAAAGCACAGTAAAAGCATGGTATAAAAGATAAAAAATAGTATACCTGTTTAAGGCACTTACCATGAATGGAGCTTGCAGAACTGGAAGTTGCTCTGGGTAACTAAGTGAGTGAGTGGTGAGTGAATGTGAAGGCCTAGGACATTACTGTACACCACTGTAGACTTTATAAACACTGTCCCACAAGCCCTCCTCCTGCTTCCTTCCTACAGGGTCAGAAATAAAACATCAAAGCTGCCAATGCTACTGGTCCATGAACTCTGTGGGCTGGACGAACATGAACATGAAGTTCTATGTGGGATGGATGAATTAGAAATATCGAAGAGAAACTGGCTGGGTAAAGTGTGGATCACCACAATAGCGACTGTCAAGAGGGAGTGAAAGGTGGCCTAAGGATTATTAGGAAGAAGAAACCAAGATGGAGAGATAAAGGAATAAAGGATCATAGGGATAGTCGTGGCAATGTGGTTTTTGCTATTGCATATTGGAGCAATGGTCAGATTAAGACACTCTGTGGTACTCATAAAAAAACAGGGTGTTTAACATGGAGAGGTATAGAACTGGGGACTCAGCAGTTTGACTTTGGAAATTTGTTTTTGGTCCCACTGACACTACCTGGCACAGGGGCTTTCTCTGGCATTGAACTGATGGAAGAAATAAAACTTTTCTATGCTTTACATATAACAACATGAACATATTTCCAAAGTACAGGGACAGGCTGGCTCCACACTATCACAGAAAGCTTTCACTGAAGTGTCAGTGGCACTTAATACCTGTTAAAGTCGCTCCTGTGGACTTGTGTCCTTGAACAGAATCTTATGTCCTCAACAAAGAATTTATAGCCATGTACTCTGAAGACCATTGGCTAGATCTGGGAGGACTGATTGTAGCACCCTCTGAATATGTAGTGGTGGGGGGACAGGCTCCTCTGTGCTGAAACAGGTCAGTAGCTGACTGATGGGGATGTGATCTGTGTACTCACAACTGAAGTGCTGTGAGTGAGAGGGAATCTATTGCCACTCCCCACAGATATTGCTCCTGTCAGAGAAAAAGAATTCCTCCTGAACTGAATATCCTTCCATTTCTTCCAGGAAATTCAGTTCCATTTTAATCCTATGGAACCACCATCATATATGTGGTCCATTTTTTACCAAAATGTCATTATGCAGCTCATGACTAGATGTCAGTTGTATCTTGATAAAGCTAGGGGAAAAAGACCATGCATTCCAATTCCCTCAATTTTTGGGTGAAGAACCTGAGGCCACCCAAAATGAAAGTTACTCAAGGTCACAGTTTTAAATGACAAAAACATGACTAGAATCCCTGGTCTTCTAACTTTTACTATATTTTTTCACTATAATCCCATCCCTTCTCCCCAACCTAAGCACCTAAAATCTTAACCATTCCAGTAGATAATTTTATATACTGGTTTTTACAACTCTCTAGTGAAAGAAATTCTACAAATCCACCTAGTAGAATATATTTCATTGCCATTTATGATTAGAAAGTTCTTTCATACATATAACCCAAATGCTCCCCACTACAACATAAATCCATTCCTCTTTGGTCTGTCCTTAATAGAAATGGATCACAGATGTTCACTATCACCAATAACATTTATGAAATATGTGTGTATATATGTGTGCCTGTACAGGCATAACTTTCAGATTTTGCGGGTTTGGTTCCAGAGTACCGCAATAAAGTGAGTATTGCAATAAAGCAATTCTCAATCTTTTTGCTGGTGGAGGGCCCTGCCTCCACTTTGTAAAAAATGCAACATCTGTGAAGCACAAGAAAACAAGGTATGCCTGTACACACACACACACATGTAACCGAAAATTGTTTTTTTTCTTTAGGCAAAATGACTCAGTGGCAAACCAGATTAGAGAAATAGCATCTATGAAGGCCTATAAGTCACAGGTCTTTTTTATTCTGTGCCTTCAATGCTATAGCAAACCTTGAGCAAGAGATGAACCCATGGGGGTGATCTAGCATCTTAATATGAACCAAACATCCAAATTCATTAATATCCAACTAAATAGGGCCTCAGATAGCCAGACTTCTTTGCTAGATATTTATTTTGGCATCACAAAACAAGGCAGGGCCTAGAATGATCTCATATCCTATATCTTTGCCATTTCTAGTTTAGAGTAATAAATATTGCTGATCCAAATGGTAACATGATGGGGAAAAAATATTCAGCAATGGACTCTATTTAAGAGCATCTTACAGTGCAGTACAGCTATTCATATATCCTTGATAGAAAAAATAGCCACTCTGTCTGAGAAGGTTGTCCTTGTTAATGGAATGCTCAGTTTTGGGAAGAAGATGATTGCAGTGAAGTGGGAGGTAAGACCCTACTGCCTAGAGAACTGGATCAGCTCAATCTCCCTTGGAGATTAGTGGGGTGACATACTGTAGCAAAGCTGTGCTCATACTTTCTGAGCCCTCTTTACTAAGGAAAGAACACAGATTGAGAGATTTAAAAATATTTCTATCAGGTAACCAGAAAGCCTTATTAGAACATCTTTTAGATTTCTGAGATTCAATGGACTAAGAATCCAAAATGAGTTGCCTTGGAAAGAAATAATTCAATCTAACAACTGGGAAAGCTAATGTAAAATAATTGAGGCAGACAGATTGTTTCATTGAGTTTCCAGTGAGCTCCATGCCAGTGTGACCCCTCCTGAAACCACCCTTGTAAAGGTAACCACCCTTGTAAAACAAAGCTACTCACGGCAATAAGCTGGTAGGAGTTGTTCATCATGGCGATCAGCATGTTCAGCAGCACTACCAGGGAGATGACATTGTATGTCCCAAACATGGTAGCTCCCACAAACTCTGTGAACTCATGTCTGGCTTTCACATTGGTGACATAGAGATTCAAAAGGCCAAATACAGACCAGAAGAGTGATTGAAGGGTTTCAAAGAGCCTAAAGAGATAAAAGAGCAGGTGAGTTAATTCTTTAGGAAGAACAAAAAGAGAGAGAAAATGTGAGGTGATTTGCTTAATAAGGAGGCTGCCATATTTACATCCAAACAAGTAGACATATTTTGGTCTCTGTCCCATCCCAAATTAGCCAGATCAGTTTGTTTATTTGTTCCCACTTCTATGTCTTATGCTTTGCCTTTCTACCTGTAATATTATCTCCCTATTCTCTATGCAGACCTATAATATTCCAAGACTTATTTCAAGGGCTACTTCCTCCACCAAACTTTCTCTCTCATCTTCAGACCATGTGATTTACCACCAGTCTAATAACATAGTGGGAGAAATGCAGTGGTGCTTGCATTAAGAATATGGTGCTTGGGTTAGATTGCTCTGGGTTAAAATGTCAGCTCTGAAATTTGCTAGCTGAGTGAACATGAGCAACTTACCATTTCTGATACTTCTTTTATGGTTTCCACAGGGCCCAGGGTGGTTCTCAGCTCAGCTGAGGAGCTTAAAGATTCTTGAATTAACACTATATGCATTATTTTTAATGTTATGTTAACTAATAATTAGTGTGTACTTTAAAAGCATACTAGGCACTTTTACATACATTATCATTATGATCCTTATAAAAACTTTGTTACTGCTAATGAAATAGAGGTTCAGAGATTGAATGACTTGCCCCTGGTCACCCAGCTATAAGTGCTTGTTAACTGTTTGACTTTGGAAAAGTTACATAGCTTCTTTAATCTTCAAGTTTCCTGTTCTCTAAAATGGTTATTGATAAGATAAATACTAATTGTTAACATTTGTTGTCCTCTTACTATATGGCAGGCACTGTGCTTTTTTCAATGCATTATAATATTTGATTCTCAGAATAACCTTATGAAGTAGCTACTATTTTTTTTTCTATTTTTCCAGATGAGAAACTGAGGTACAGAATGGTAACACAGGCAGGAAGTGGCAGAGGTAGGGTTTGCACCCAGCTCTTCTGACTCTATAACATAAAGTACTGCACTCAGCACAGTATTTGGCATATGGTTAGCATTAAAAATGGCAGCTATTCTAATTATTTGTGTTCTCCATTAGATTATGAACTTCTTAAGGATAAGGATGTCATCTTACTCAATATCTTCATTGCCTGGCACATAGCAGTTGCTGAATAAATGTTTGTTGAATAACTCTATAAAAGATGACAGGAGAAGCAAATAGCTAAGGAAAATACAAATGAATGGCATCACCCTGTGATGACAGGAGCAACAAGGCTATGAACTGAAAACAGGGGGGAAAGCTGGAGACAATCAATAAAAACCTTCAATATCTGGTCAGAAAAAAAAAGAATAGCCTTTGATGGGGACTGAGTTTGTATCCCTGTAAATAATATGGGAAAATATTGACTGAATGTTGGGTAGAAAAATCAACATTGATTAAGTAGGAATAGCCACAAATGAATGGTGGTTGTCTACAAGGAGGTTGCAAATGACCTGCTAGGTCATGGCTCTATACTATTTATTTATACACATATTAGTGATTATTGTGATTACATGACTTTACAAAACCAGTTATATCTGCACTCCTGAATAAAAGCACAAACTGGAGCTTGTATGCCTAGATTGAAATCCAGACTCTGCCACTGATCATCTATGTGACTTGGGGGCAGCGTGCTTATCTGCTTTGTGCCCTAATTTCTCCATTTGTAAAATGGCTTGTAATAATACTGCTTACCTGATAGCATGGTGTAAGGATTAAATGAGTTAATTCATGTAAGGTTCATTTTGTAATAGTGCCTGGACATAGCACTCAGTATATATCAGTTATTTTTATGAGTATTACTAATCTTCCACCTAAATACAACCTTGTTGTTTTACCTTTCTTTATTGTCTTTATAGATTGCCATCCATTTGCATATCTAGTTGTACATATTTGCAATCATCGTATATATAATTTTTGTGCTTTTGAAAATTAAAGATTTTGCATATATAGTCTTCAAAGGTAACATTTTAATAGCTGTCCAATATTCCACCCTGTGAATAACAAGCCTGTCTGACAGTGTTATCAATGCTTTTGATGAGAATAGATGGTAATCTTAGATTTTCAGGTGACACAAGAGAGAGAGCGTTAGCTGGTAGATTGGGTGACAGGATTAAGTTTCAGAAACATTTTAACAGCTTGGAACAATGTGCTAGAACAAATAAGATGAAGTTAGTCGGGATCGATGTAGAGCTTTGCTCTCAGGCCAAGTGCCCAAGTATAGGATGAGGGAGGCAGGCCAAGTGCCCAAGTATAGGATGAGGGAGGCAGGCCAAGTGCCCAAGTATAGGATGAGGGAGGCAGGAGAAAGGCCAAGGGTTTTTGCTAACAGCAATTTCAGAGTGGATTAGCAGAATGACAGAGCTGGCCAGCTACTTCAGCCATATGGAGGGAGGGTGAAACAGAAGTAGATCTTCTAGAATTAAAGATAGACTTGCTACTGGATTTCGTCCTTTTTACTCAATTGTTTAATGGACATGTTGAGCACTTTTATGTCTTAGTCTCCTCTATGATAGGAACAAGGCTTACTAAGGATCCCAGTCTGATGAAATGAGAGATAAGAAATGACTAAAATACTACAGGTTACCTATTGTAATGGAGATGTACTTATAATACCATGAAAAACACAGAAGGAGCTTGTTACTGAGAACAAGGTCAGAGTAAGAAAAGAGTTAAAAGAGCAGGTAATACTTTGGCCAGAGGCTTAGAGGATGGTTAAGAGTTTTCCAGGCTGGCCAGGTGGGGATGGGCATTTTAAGCAGAGGAAATGGTATGTTATGTATGAAGGCCTGTAAGGTTGAGATAGATCCTCTTCTGTAGTTGGGAAAGAGCAAGATGTTGACTATGAAGGATAGGAGTAAGTGGGTGGAGAGGTGAGGTCCAGATAACTAAATCCTGTGTGATATGGTAAAGGGGGGGATTTTACAATGGAGAAGATTCAGATACCTGGTGAGCATGAAGCCAGGGGGATGACAGGATAACACTGATATTTAGAAAGAAACTTGCATGTGGCAGGTGGGAAGTTATCTAGAGGAGAGATAAGACTTAAGGTTGGCACACAGTACATTTTCTAGGATAGACCACATGTTAGGACACAAAACAAGTCTCAATAAATTTAAGAAGATTGAATCATATAAAGCATCTTCTCTGATCATAATGCTATGAAACAAGAAATCAATCACAAGAAAAACACCTGAGAAACACACAAGGACTTGGAGGCTAAATAACATGTTACTAAACAATGAATGGGTTAAAAATGAGATGAGGGAAGAAATCAAAAGATACCCTGAAACAAATGAAAATGAGACCACAACAACCCAAAACCAATGGGACACAGCAAAAACAGCCCTAAGAATGAAATTCATAGCACTACAGGCCTACCATTAGAAACAAGAAAAATTGCAAATAAACAATCTAACATTACACTTACAGGTACTAGAAAAAGAACAACAACAACAACAATGAAAAACCAGTGACTAGAAGAAAGATCAGAGCAAAAATAAATAAAATAGAGTCTAAGAAAATACAAAAGATAAGTGAAACAAAGCACTGGTTCATTGAAAAAATAAACAAGATTGACAAACCTTTAACCAGACTCATCAAGAAATAAAACAGAGAGGACCCAAATAAATAAAATCAGAAATGAAAGAGAAGTAACAACAGACTCCACAGAAATAGAAAGGATTGTAAGAAATTATTACAAAAAACTATATGCCAACAAATTGGACAATCTGGACAAAATGGATAAATTCCTAGAATAATACAATCTTCCAAAACTGAATGAGAAAGAAAGAATGAGATGGCCCAGATGAGTGTGGCTCAGCGGTTGAGCATCAACCTATGATCTAGGAGATCACGGTTCAATTCCCTGTCAGGGTACATGCCCGGGTTGTGGGCTTGGTCTCCAGTGGGGGGTGTGCAGGAGGCAGCCAATCAATGACGGCTCTCTCATCATTGATGTTTCTATCTCTCTCTCTTTCTCCCTCTCTCTGAAATCAATGAAGATATATTTAAGAAAAAAGAAAAAAAAGAATGAGATGATCTGAATAGACATATCACAACTAGTAAAATTGAAGCAGTAATAAAAAAAATTCCAACAAACAAAAGTCCTGGACCAGATGGCTTCACAGGTGAATTTTACCAAACATTCAAAGAAGAACTAACACCTTTCCTTTTCAAACTATTCCAAAAAATTCAAGAGGAGGGAAGACTCCCAAGCTCATTTTACAAGGCCAGCATTATCCTACTTCCAAAACCAGATAAAGACACTGCAAAGAAAGAAAATTATAGGCCAATATCGCTGATGAACATAATGCTAAAATCCTCAACAAAATACTTCCAAATCAGATTCAGCAATACATTAAAAAGATCATACATCATGATCACCTGAGATTTATTCCTGGGATGCAAGGCTGGTACAGTATCTGCAAATCAATAAACATGGTACACCACGTAAACAAATTGAAAGATAAAAACCACATGATCATATCAATAGATGCAGAAATAGCATTTTATAAAATCCAGCACACAACTATGATAAAAACTCTCAGCAAAGTGGGAATAGAGGGAACATAGCTCAACATAATAAAGGCCATATATGAGAAACACACAGCCACCATCATACTCAATGGGCAAAAACTAAAAGCATTTTCCTCAAGATCAGGAAAAGCCAGGGATGTCAGCTTTCACCACTCTTATTCAACATAGTACTGGAAGGCCTCACCACAGCAATCAGACAAGAAGAAGAAATAAAAGGCATCCAAATTGGAAAGGAGGAAGTAAAACAGTCATTATTTGCAGATGACATGATACTATATACAGAGAACTTTAAAGATTTCACCAAAACTACTAGAACTGATAAATAAATTCAGTAAAGTAGCAGGACATAAAATAACTATCCAGAAATCAGTTGTGTTTTTATTACACCAATAATGAATTATCAGAAAGGGAAACTAAGAAAACAATCCCATT